CAAGACACCCCCCCCCCTTCCCCCTGCCGAACAGAAGCAGCCTGAATGCCGGCTATAGGAAATGTCTATAGGCTATGCTGTGACAGTACCCCTTTATTTTTTGTCATATGGCTCTGATCAGAAAAATCTATTAGCCTACCCTGAAAGTGATGTCATCCCAGTCAGAGCCTGAGCAGGTTTTGACCAGCCATATAATCCATATTTATGCTTTCCATTTTGCACAATTAATTTTTGCACCCCATCCCTCTAAACACACATAGCCTACACGCTTAGGACTTGAATACACTCAAAAAGGCTGCTTTTAATGGCCTTATTCAATATTAATGCAGATTGAGTTACAGAGAGCAGATAATTTGCACTGCAGTGCACCAAGGCTCTTCTGAGATTAAATGTTTTAATGGTGAATGTTTACTATATAGAGCCATCTTTACTGCGGTGAAGGAACATATAGTTTTAGTTATTAGGAGCTACTCTGGCTGTATTAATAGGCATAAAGGCTCTGTGCCTACTACACTTCAAGGTCTATAGCCTTCCCCCTCCTTTTTTCTCCTGGTTCTGTCCTGGTGCACAAATAACAAGCCAGTCACCCCTGCCCATATCCAGATAGGCAAGTTCTTCCTCTGCCCATATCCAGATAGGCAAGTTCTTTCGGTCAGGGCCACTCAGTGTCCCGCAGACAGACTGAGTGGCAGACATTCATTTTTAGGGCAGAAAGGTTGGACAGTAGAGACGGACATTCAGCCAGACTAAATTACAACCCCTTGATCGTGCACACAGGAAAAACAATCCCAGTGCCAAACTGCCACAAAATGGCCAAATAGAAATATAAGTAGACAGACACACAAACAATCAGGTCTCCAGACACTGTTGGGCAGGTAGGTAACACCTTGCATACATGGTCAGACAGAAAGGCAAACAGCTACCCTGTATTTGGTAATCCTTATACTTTTTACTGATGCCTTGCCATTTATTTGCATATAAACAACCAATACACTGGAGAATTTATGAATTCTGCTTGTTTAAAAGATTGTTGTTTGTCTTCTATTCCCCTCCTTTGTAAGATGCACCCTCGAAACCTCCACAGGTGTCCCATAAGGGCTGCAGGCTAGGTCAGTAGCTCAGCCGCCATCCGTGTGTGCTGTGTTTCTTCTCGTCTCCACCCCCATCTCGCGCCCATGTCGACTCCCCCTCGGCCAGGGAGGGGTGGGGGAGGTGGGGATGGGGTGGCTGGTTGGGTGGGGAGGGACAGAGGGAAGGGCTGGGGGCTTCAACACCTATCTGACAGCCAACAACCCTCTCCCTGGTTTCCTCTTTATTTTCACCCCCCGTGTGGCTTTCCTGGATTCTTTCAGCTTAAGCTCGTCCCTGTTTCTCCTTGTAGCTAAAGCTCTCCTATAGCCAGCTGTTTGTCGCTCCTCTGTCTTTTCCCACTTTGTTTTCAGCTCTGCCTCTTCTCATTTTGTTTCTGCCTCATTTTGTTTTGTCAGTCAGTGTCGGACCAGTCTTTATCCTTGTTCCTCCTTCTATGTCTGTAAAGTGTGTGTCAAGAATAATGTGTGTGTAGTAGAGGTTCTTACTGAAGTGTATATCGGTGTTTATGGATATGATGTGCTTCTTCCTGTCAAGCACTATATCAGAACAGGTGATCATTCACCATTTCATAGTCATGACGCCATTTGTCGATGTTCCTAAATGTTTTTGTCCTTTTGTACTGGTAAGAATTAAATATACTGACAATGTAATAGTCTGTGCACACGCAGGATGATGATCTGTAAGATATTTTTTATGTATAAGCACTTGCTTTTAGCTCTGGAGTTTAGCTGGTACTCGAGTTATACCTGTACACACGTGCACACACTGTCTGCTAAATGACTGGAACCGATGAGATGTCAGTGACCGTCTAGGCCCCCAGTGAGGGCATAGTTTATGAAAGTGTAGTTATCACGTGTGATTTTCTGATGTGTGCACTCCAATGTGCTTTCACACAAACACTCCTCACCCTGCCTGTGATGGATGATGAAGGGCCTGTCCCAGGAATTGATGGCCCCACTCTGGGGTAAGTGAGCTGGGGATTGATGGTCAGGGTGATGTACATTTGGACAGACATGAGTGAGTTGGCCTTTTTTTTGTCCTCTCTTCTCTACATGCTTATCTTATGCACTGGTAATTATTGCTCATCATAAAAAAAAAAATTTCTGTCGTCCCGGATACCAAGTTTGTTTCTGCCAAATCATTTGACGGTTTTATGTGCCCAGCTGACCGCACTGCACAACCTCTAAGTCTTGTTACGACCTTGGACGACAGTCAGGCTCACTCATAATCCTTTAATTCAATCAGATACATCATTTATCAGAACATGTGCGCCTACAAAGCAAACATTTTCAGTTACTGATTGTGTTTGGGCACTTAAAATGAAAGTGAGAACCAATTCCACTGGTGACAAAATGCATAATTTGTTTCTCGTGTCAAGCAGGATTAGTGATATCCAGCATTCGAGTGGCTGTTTCAGCTCAAGGGAGCTCGTTTCAAAATCGCAGTCATTGCAAAATGTCACATTACTGTTCAGCTGACTTTCGTTATTCACAACAAACCTTAAGAAAAATATGTTTATGTATTATTTCTATCTCATACATAGTACATGTCTGCGGGGATGGAAAGTAACTAAATACATTTGCTGAACTACTTTTTGAAGTATCTGTACTTTACTCAAGCAGTTTCATTTTGTGCTACTTCAATTTCACTTCATTTCAGAAGCAGCTATTGTACTTTTTAATCCACATTTATTTTATAACTTTAGTTACTAGTTACTTTTCATAATCAGATGTTTTATATATTTATATAATAGATATATATATATTTGCCACTCTCCAACGTTTGCTTGTCAAAATCCAAAACCCAAGTCTGGCTTATGATAGCTGTGTCATCTTACTCTTACTACCACTTTTACACACAAATAAATAAAAATCTGCTGAACATCACCATGGTCATTGCACATGCACATATCCCCCCACTGCCTTATTTTTTTTTTTATTTCTACACATCTATTTTTTCCTGGCACTGCCTGAGGCCGATGGGCGCTCTTTGCCTTGAGCTAATCCTTGTTTTCATCTGCTTCGCGCTGCAACTTGGTTAGGTGCCATGTTACAGCCTCAAAGCTGGAGGTCGGTACAGGGTTGTAGCTACGAAAATGAAAAAAAAAAACCCTCCAGAAACTTTAGGTCAGGTCAAGAAATAGCACTACTATCAGTCAGTATGAACCTGTTGTCTGTGAAATCTGTCTTGGTTATCTATCATTTCACTGACTATTAAAGTGCACATTTGCATCATACCAGATAAAGAAATCATTGGTCTGTCAATGTGCATTTAAAATGCAATTTTAAATGAGTTTCCAAATGATACAAACTAATCTTTTGTACAAGATACAGTTAGACATTATGAGAAAGTAACAGCATTCTCATTGATTTACTGACATGGTCTCTCCATCATAAAGGCCTTCTAGTCAAATGGCTTTTTTGGATTATGTAGTGCAACAGATGAGTCATTACAAACTGTCCATCATAGTCAAATCGATTTTCAGCCCCTGGTGAGCATTGAGGGTTGGAGTGTTTCTAGTGCTGTAAGATTAAGTCTTTTGTTTGCTGAGAACTGTGGTGGCTGGATTGTGCTACAAGCTTTTTGGTGTATTAAAAGTTGATTAATTACAGCTGAGTATTGTATTGATTTATTAAGGGATGCACTTTATATATTGATTAATTATTTTTGTATGTATATTATACAATTAAAAAACAGTTTTTAAGAACTTTACTTTATAGTAGAGAAAGATCTGCAGTTGTACAAATAGTGGTATTTACTTATTTGCATGTTTTTGTCACAAATGTGAGACATTTGTTCTAATACATTGTTGGTGGGCATGTTGTTGCGGCTTGGCCGACGGTTTGTGTGTACGCCTGTGTGTGTCATGTGTACGTGTGTGTTTTAGAGCCGCAGCTGAAAGGCATCGTGACGCGACTGTTCAGTCAGCAGGGTTTCTACCTGCAGATGCAGCCGGATGGAACCATCGACGGCAGTAAGGATGAGAACAGCGACAACAGTGAGTGGAGCTTTCAGAATAAAACATTTAATGGAAAATGAGTCAGTCGGTTATATAATATATCAGCACATTTTATTCTGGCTTTTTCATTTGTAATTCTTAAATAACCATAGCCATTTGGGCAGCCTAAGGCACCCCACAATTAGTTGTACTGAAGTGGATTATCTATACAAAAAAATGACCAGTATAAAGGGAACTATTCAGCAAATTTCACAAGGCATTGTGCCATGTTTTCCTCATCTGGTTATGCATTGTGTGAAGATATAAATATGTCAAAATCTTGGTGAGTAAATGCAATATTTGTCACATATTTATGGAGTGTCTTGTATTGAAATTTATATTTCCAAGGAAAAACTAATTGCATTATCCCTTCCCCTGGTCTAAACAATTTCTACTGTGTACACTGCGTGATTGTAAGTGTCACAGTGTTTTGATTGATTCAGCTCTGATTATCACAGCAGAATTTCCTTCCTGGAAAAACCGTGTGAAGCGACTATAGACCCATAGCTTTGCTCTTTATCACAAAGATCACTTCACAAGTCACTGTTTTGCAATATTTCACCATCGGTTGCAATGAAAGGATAAACAGCCCCGTCCCCTTCTGCCTCCTAAGGAACAGAAAAGACAAAAGTCAGTAGAGTCTTCAATTTTAAAGCTTTTGTAACAATTTCCAATTGGACGGTAATGAAACGCATATATCAAACTTTTGTGTAAGTGATAATGAGGACACTCCCAGTTTGGAGTTAAGCCAGACTGGAAACCAATCATGACCTTTCTTCTCTAACACTCTGTCAATCTTAATGGAAGCCAAAGTCAAAGCTTCTGGACTGTAAAAGTCATGTGGTTTAGAAAGTATGGTCTCTTTCTGTCCAAACAGTTTTAAAATGAGATAAATCTTCAGCTGTGACTTAACACAAAGGGATACATTGCTTGGGGGTGAAGGGTTGCAGGGGGAGTGTTGTAGGTGTGTACGATACAGACATGATGAGTTGATATGAGTAGCTTCATTCATTTTTCTAGTCCACCAGTTTCTGTTGTGTTTTGGTTAGCCATGCTGCTAATGTAGTCTACTCTACCCTAGCATTAACTTCTAACACCAGTGTCGACAGATTAAAAACAGTGTTTAACATCCCGTACCCTAACTAATGAAACCGCTTGGCGTGTTGTTATGGCGCATTAACTGTGGCCCAAATTCCCAAGTGAATGCTCACATTAACATGGTAAACAAAAGAGTGTTCTTCCCAGACAGTCCATAATATGACCGTGATTGGTCAACACAGCGCCCGGATGATGTCACTATCCAATGCGTCAAAAATTGAACCAGATTGACCTTTTTCACAGCATTTTGCCAGAGCCCCTTGCGGTGCTGGTGCCGACTGCAGTGAACGCAGTCCCTCGTAGAAATGAATGAAGAAGGATGCATTATTTCACACCTTTGAAACTCAGTCTGAATGCCCACTAATACATTTTCTTTCTGTCTCACAAAACTGTTTTTTGAGCCTCTGTTGTGTTGTAAATTCTTTGGCTGGTGAGGTTCTTGTTGTATATGAGGGTTTCCCCATCTCTAGGTAACCCTCTTGTTAAGCAGTCTCCCTGGCTCAGGGATGAAGCAACGCAGTGAATAATTCAACCTCAGGAAACTAAAAATACCACCTTCTCTGTATGTAGCCAATGAATTATTCTCTGTATGAGATGCCTGAAGCTCAGAGACAGCCCAAACGAAAGAGACTGGAAGAGAGCAGAAGGCGCTGCAAGAAGAATTTGAAGTGCTTAAGATTGAAAGATAGACACAGAAAGCGTAAATAAAAAAAGTGAGATTGATTAAGAAAGATAGAAATGGATGTTTTGGTATTCAGGTCTTGCAATGACCTATTGATCGCCCAGCTGGATTATTAGAATAATAGATTACCCCACCCTTGAACCGGGTCACCTCTGACCCGCAGCATCCTCAGCAGAGGCAGATTTAGTGGAACCGATGGGACTGAAGAGCATAATGCCACCTGCATAATAGGTGTGTGCTGGATGACGACAAGGATGCAACTGAACATAAAACTGTTTTAGCTGGAGAACTGTGTAAAACTAACTGACATCCTGCTTTAATCAAATAAAGGTTTCTACATAGTGAAATTAGTTTAATTCAATGTATTCAGTAACTCGTAAGAAGTGACAGAAAGCATTATTGTTACTGTAAATCTCAGTTAAGCTTAGCTCTGACATTTACAAACTGCTAAAACTAAAGTTAATTTTAACATCCATGTTCAAATTTGAGCAATTATTAATTTGACCACCATCCGTTGCCTGCCTGCACACATTGAGGCTTTAGAAAGATATTCCCCCAATCCCAATGTCCACACTCACAGACAATGAGGCGCGTTGCTGCTGACTTATTGGATCCTCAGGGCTGTCTCACTGCGAAATCATCAAGTGCATGAGCATTCTTTTGCCTTTATGTTCACTTTCCTTTAGTCAGCATTTCTGCAGACTTTACCTGAGGGAATTCCCCACAGTTCATAGCACTGTGATGTGAAACACGAGATTATCTTACTGTAACCTGGGAGGTTCGGAAGCGTAAAAAGGTAAACAAATGCGTTTGTATGTTGCTTTGGACAAAAGCATCTGCTAAGTACTATAAACTAAACATAAACATCCTTTTATTACACACCTATTTCATTCATCAACTATTTATTTTCTTTTTTGCTTAATGATGCCGTTTCAACAAAAACATATTACTGTAAATTGATTAGGTAATCGACAGCTGCCCCTCGTCCACTCTGTAAGACTAGAGCCTGGATCACGTTCAGCTCAGCTAATCGGTCCTTGAAGTGTATTGGCTGTGAGGAAAGCGACAAATAAAGCCACAATAGTTAGAAACATGGTGTGGTCTTGGTGTTGTCATGGTGATGTGATAGCATAAGTCACAAACTGCTGTCCCATTCCTATTTATACAATTTCCATCCTTTGTAGACTCTTTGCACTCAGTCCCTTAGAGGTGACGTTACTGAAGCCTTTGAGCGTTCAGGGCTTGAGACCTTATGGAGGACATTGGGATTGGACCATAGCTATGTTATAAGGCATTCACACTCCATCCATCTCTGATCTTCCTGCTTTGATGGATGGGATGAAGCAGTCATTAATTTCAACTTTGGCATGCAGGAGGAGTGGGGCCATATTACTACCTTATATAAACACACATACTAACAAACCTGTGCTGTTAATTCCAACTCTTCCTCCTTTGGGTTTGCATTTTTTTCTGGATTGAAAGACATCCTTGGAATTTGAAGTTTGGCTCTATAAACCTTTACTGGAGAGTTGATTTCCTGCTGTGCCAGTATTCCTCACATTAAATGCATTTCCTTTTAGCCTAACTGCAGGATTTGCTCCTAGCCGATTACTGCTCCTCTGAAAGACTTGCTGTTTAAAGGATTTTTGCTTCATAGGGTTGCTTGAACTTTGTGTGGCCTAGATTCCATGAAATCTGTCCCTGATCCAGCCAGAGCGCTGGCTTTTCTCTGTGAGAGACAGGATTGAGGCTATTTAGGAAAGAGAAATAGCCTTCAGAATAGTCATCAGGGCCTATAACAGCAGTCAGTACAGTTAATTTTGGAATCTGTCAACTACTGGAGCTTCAGATAGAAAAGTTGGCCATTTCGAAGGTAAGGAATGACACTTCCTTTTGGTTGTGCAGTTTTTTGGCAGGCAAATGAGAGTATGGACTGCAGATTATAATTATAGCAAATCAGTGCACTGGCTCACCACATTTTATGTCTTTTTTCTTATCACTTTTCAAGCCAGGCTTTGAGGGCCCTGTTGCAAGGATGACTTGTCAGAAAAAAGCTAGAATATGCTTTGATAGGTGGAGGTGCTCCAGGGTGTTACGTGACAGAACTGTGGACGGTGCCTCTGAGAGACACCAGAGTGCCAAATGCAGCAGGCATGAAAGGCAAAGGGGAGTGAGGAAACAAGCAGAGAGGAAGGAGAGAGCTGTGACAGAAAAGAGGTCGAGGAAAAATCAGAGCCTGAGAAAATGAGATTTAAAGTGGTAATAGATTTGGTCTTTATATCCCAAATATCTAGCACTCAGGGGTATACAAAACTGGCAGAGTGGCCAGCGTGTATCCCACGCACTAGTAGCCCGAGGGCAGAATGAAGTCGTTGGCAGGCGAAAGCAGCATGTCGATATTTATTGAGTGAAATTGAATCTGCACAGAGGACAGACCCATATTGGCACGTCTCCTCTCATCGCTGCCAGCTTTATC